ATCGTCTGATATCTGCAAGTTAGTGGAAAATTGCCTCCCTCTCCATCCGTCTTCATCCAAACCAATTCGTCAATATTTCTCGAGCAATGCAAAAAGTTTAGAATGCACAATGCTCGACTGCAAATGAAGCAGGGGTCATTAAAATTTCACTCGCGAGGCGATCCAGCCTTGTCGCACACGTGTATCAATCAAAACTTGCGCCATATGAACTCTCCTCATCTAGCAGTTCCGGTGATTTCGATTTTAGAACATTCAGATTCAGTACCGTATGTCTAAAACTATATATCTTACCTTTAAGTAACACGACCCAAGTTCGAAGTCAATCAAAGGAAGCTAACTATACTGAACATGCCTCGTTATTTTGACGGGATTATTTTTCTCAGATCAAAGAAATACCCAAGCTGATGCGATTTGATTTGCGTGGATTTCAGCGTTGTGATATGCAGGGAAATCGTTGAGTATTTTTTATTTTTTAACCTGAGGTAAATTTTCGGAAAGCATTACACTATATTCTATTTTGTATTTGATTATGCGGACGCGGGAAGATTATCACCAGCTCGTATAACGGGAGTTCTACTGTAGTTTTAGGCAATCGAAGCTAACAGTTGAACGTTAACGAAAACAACGGAAAGAGACGGAAAGTCGGATCCAGCAGTTGACCCGTCGGGAAAGTTTTTACGGCGCGGAAAACGGAATAACAAACCTGACTCATCCGAACTGAGCGGGCTCAGAGAGAATCATGCTTTTTCGGCGGAAGGGACACAACGAAGTTGGCAACACGGGGGACATTCATTTCTTTTATTTCCGTCTGCTTTGTCCCTGCCGGGCCGGGGTCGATAGCATCCGTAAAAATAATGGAAACTCCAAAATATCAGAGAATGCAATAATTCTTGCCTCCCCGCTCTCGACGGATCCCGAGCGTCCAGGGCACCTCTCATCTTTTCTCCGCGTGGATACTTTTTCATGACGACCGTATTTGTCTTGCTTCTCCCTCTCGCTTTTCCTCCTCTAGTCTTGCCTCCTCGTGGAAACCAGCGAAAAATATATGCGGAACTCTGAACCTGTATGGCGACGCCGTTTTCGCTTTTCCAGAAATTTCCTAGCTGGTTCGCGACCCGGGACACTGCTGCGCGCTGGAAAGCTTTCCCCGGAATGTCATTGTCCGCGGATTTCGCTTTTTATGGTATTCTCCGAGGTCCGTGAGGCGCGCTGATAAGCACTAGAAACGTTGAAACATTAACAATGTTAGTACTCGTCAACGGGCCCATGACCCTTGCAGGGAATCGTGACGTGATCAGTATCCTTCCCAGGCGTTCGGACGTCGCGATTAACTGCGGATAGAACGTCGATGTCACCCTGCTGTGCACGCGAGCCAATGATTAGCGCCGAAGATGAGTGCGCATACATACAAATGTCCTAATCAAAACCTTTTTATCAAGTTTGCGGCACGGTGATTTCAGCAGGAGCAAGTTACGATGAAAGAATATACGCAGAACTGCCGCCACTTCGTATGATTTTCTCCTGTGATTTTTATGATTTGGCTCAAGACCAAAAGGAAACCTTCTCCTGCTGGTCGATTTCCCGCTATACTTTCGTGACGGCGAATGAGCAACAAGTGACATCTATACGTCGGCAAGAGATAACCCGCTTTTTGTTAAGATATAGTTCGTTAGGGGACTCGAGCCACGCATTATTCCCGTGCTTCGCTGGCCCCGAGCTGCCGGTTCTTAATAGATTTTTTTTTCATCATATAAAAGAATCCGATGTTAAAGAATGGAGGTTGAACTTAAACCCATATGATTTTGTAAAGTTCGTCATGAACTTATCCGACTGCAGTTTGTTTCGCTGAAGTTTTTCGAGACTTGGATGCGGAGATCTGTTAGTGTACAGTATTAGGCTTGAAATTGATATTGAGTTTCTCTTCGAAAAGCCACTTATCCGTGAGAAGCCTGCGGAGCAAATTTCTTGTACTGTAGTTGTGTATATTATGTAGTAAACTCATCTCGGGCTGAGCAGTTTTCCTGCTCTATACCCAATTCAAGTGTTCAATTTATTGTTTTTTTTTTCTTTGAGCTGCTGCAGTTTTTGCTGTCATAATCAGCCTTGAGCCTCATTCATGGGAGAAATTACTGCTGCAATGATTGGTAAAACATTATGAATAAGAACTGTTACCGTTTGCAGTGTGTGGAGATTCATCTTTCAGCAGATGTTTAAATTTTTCTGCCATATTATGAAGTGACGATAAGCGAGAGACCACACCAACAAAAGTTCGACACGAACTAATCAGTTATGCTTCATGAATACATTTTTTCAATTTATTCACAACAATTTGTATTTCATGATTATTTCATAATTATCTCATTTCATAAATTACTTCATTAAAATAGCACGCGATAGATGAATGTAATAGAGCATGGAAACCTTGTGTAGATTTTGGTTGTTTCACATACTTTTCTGACACCTTATGACTTACAAAAGTTTCCCTTTTTTTTCCTAGAAAAAATCTAAATCTAAGAAAAAATGGAGAAAGAAAGGGAAGTTCGTTCATTATTTTTCATTTGGCCATGCATGCCACTCAAGTGTACATGTACTGTATACAGAGTTACAGACTCCTGAGCTGAGTCTGCACCATCGGATTTTCCCGAAAACAAAAGCCGGGCACAATAAATAAGCACCATTGAAAACATAAACTCCGCGCCACAAAAGACATTCTTTACAAGTCTACATCAATTAAATAGTATTTCATAATATGAAGACTGGAAAATATGTTCTTTTCTAGCCCGAAAGTGCATGGAACAACAACAAAAACTAGTGTGGCACGCGTACCAATCTCAATATAACATTGCATAAAAGTTTCATTTTTTTAAAAGAGGTGTCGCTGTAAAGAAAGGAAAACAAGATTCCCTCCTTTTTGGCTGGGATGATTCTATTGAATGAATCAATCATTGAATTCTTCATTCTTGAATAGTAAGAAAAATGAAAATTTTCTCTGAATACAAGTGAGCAAATGAGCAATCCTAGGGTATGTTCGGTTCAAACTCTGATATAGTTCCTTAACAAGTTAACTTTTTCGACTTGGAGCAGGGCCGTTTCGAAACTAAAATTTGAACTAATTTGCAAATTTCAGATGAATATCTACAGAAGAGTCACTTTTTAGCTGAAAAGTTGATGGTATTTAGACAAAATGATTGTTCAGTAGTGGACAGTGCTTTCTTTATCGTACTGCGTATACGATACAATACAATAATAGGAATACCCAATTTTTCTATGCCATGCATCCTAATGTTAAATTATTTTCCTCTGTTGATTCTTGTTTGATTTCCGGGCTTACAGTCTGCAGAACCCTTGAGATGTGCCGATCCAGTATGGCTCAAGAAATGCCTTCAAGGATATGCATTAGCAGAAGTGGACAAGATGGTAAGGATCCCTTGTACATCTGCTAGCTTATCCCTATGGTTTTCCTGGTATAAAAGAATGTATTTTGGTGTTCGTTGAATTACATCTTGATAGACATTTTAAGTTTGGCTTTTGACTTCAGTCCAAGTCCAAAGAAATCTTGAGTATTGTGCGGAGTGCTTCTAAAAAGAAAAGATAACATGAAGGAAAGTGGGTGGGATAATGGAATATTTATAATATAAATCGGGTCGCTAGATTCTTTCCTCACATTTCCGAAAATTCAGGAATGTTCGTGTCTGCACAATTTGTCTTTAAAATTCCAAGGTTTCCCGTCATGCACAGTGAATTTACAAATGTAGCGTAACTTTCCGTCGCTGTAATATAAAATGTTCTTCACTCAACATCTCGAGCGGGACAATTTTCTTTTCTCAAAAACCCCCAGATGCGGCGGATCTGCCAAGGGGTTGTCATAAACCAGATAGTCTTTCGATTGCAGGAGCAGATGTGAGATTCGGCATGGGTTCAGCCACTCATGTTCGGGGGAGACGTCGATATCAGCCCTACCCTTCGTCCCGAACGAGGCGTCGAGTGGCTTCCAAGCCGTGCTCTGGCGTTCTCCGCGCGACGCCCCAGGACTTTTGATCGACGCTTCGACGTCGACACATGCTTGCAATCAGGAGGGCGGGGAAGCTCGGAGGCGACGGTACCGCTCTTATCTCTTCCTTATGACAATGGGAGGGGTAAGATGGTGGATTGTATATTCATTTTGCACGCCTTCCCTGGCTGTGCCCCTTTGCCGACGATCAAACCCGGCGAGCAGCACGCCTAGGGACATCATTCCTCGATTGCCGGGTGACAGGCCCGTATATTCCTTCCGGTGCGATTTTCTTCCTGCTCTGTGTTCTTGAAATTTAACCATTCTAGAAGGATAACCATGTAGGCTTATATTCTTCATTTCGAATTGTTTCACTTTACCTCCGCCGATCTTCTGACAACCTAGTACAGTACCTACCAAACCTCTCAGTGGTGTTTACTTGATGTGCAGTAATTGGAAACTGCCGTTCGAGTGTTGAATTTACTTCATAGTTTTTTGTGCAATACATTCTCCGCCATTTTAAAATCTTTCAAAAACACTGATGAATTGTCGTTGGACAGCTGGCTCTGCAATTAAGAATTAGGGATCCACAAGGAATTACAGCAGATCTCTAACCATCCAAGCTTTTAAAAACATTGTGTTCAGTAAACCAGGCCCTAATTTGAATCCTTGAGAGAAATCAATTTGTGGCTAATATTTACTTGAACCAAGTTTTTTTTTAAATAGACTATCGGCATATTTGTTACACTTGGACATTTTCGGGAATTTTGGTAATTTTTGAAGTCGTAAAATTGGTATTCTATTCAATAGATGTAAAAAATATTCGATTATCTCTGGGATTTATTTGTCTAGACGAAGGCGAACTGTCATTAGGTTGGGAATTGCTAGTTTTACTGCACTGCCATAAAAAAAAATCAAGGAGGTTTTACAACTATAGCCGGTTTAAACCAAAGCTCTAGAATATAAAAAAAATCTTCGAGAAACTGATCGGTGCATTGAAAGTGGTTCTTTTGTGGTTTGCGAAAGGTTTCTCGGAAAACAAGACGAAGTTGCTGAAGAAGAGATACCCCAGCGTGTTGAGGCAACTCTCACCCTGACGAGCTGTGACTTGCCTTAAAAGTGAAATGAACAGCGATGATCCGCATGAGACCGCAGATATCCTCAATCTTTTCGGATCCGACGCGTACAATGAAGTTAAATTCCCCAATTATGAACCCGTGTACCACCCTGACTTGGCGAACGATCCTCACCCGCGACCCCCGGGGGACGAGCTCGACCAACCCGGCAGCAACGAATGCATAGACCTTGCTGTCCGAAACGAGACGTATCAAACAGTGACCCACGACCCGGGCTTGTCGCACAGCCCGAACTTGACCAACTTGACCTTCGGGGTGTCGTCCACGGTGTTTAGCGACGACATGATTTCCCGGAATTACCAGCAAAGCGGGATGTATCCTCAACCTCTGGACGCCTTCGACACTCACTCTAGTCCGTATGAGAGCGCGGGTGCCCAGGGCTTGGCAATCGGCGCGGAGGATTTCGAATGTCAAGAAAGCTTATTTCCTCCTTTTCAATTCATGAGCGGGGTACAGGGAGACGTTCTGGACCAGCACCCAGGATGCCCCGCAGAGCATTTCCTTCCACCTCTGAGGGAAACTTTGAATCATTCCCAGCCTGGTCCAGATTCTTCCGTTTTCTCTACTTCGCTCGGCTTAAACAGTACGTTCAAGAAATTTCATTTCTACTCATAGATTCCGCGCTTTGGCCCTGCCGCGACGAAGAAAGTACAGTACAGTACTTTACTTGACCACATACCGACTAAAATCGCTTTTGCTTACGTAAGCAGCGCTAAACTCGTCATGCCAGAAAGAAAAAAATAACAAAGTGACCATGTGTATGGGTCGGAAAATAACAAATGAAGTTTTCAAAGCATATGGCAACAGTCTAAACTTTTCAAGGTGACCATGTTTTACGGTTCAAAAAATAATGAGGGGAGAAAAAATATGTGTGTTTAGCTACAGTTATTAAAACGGGTTTGAATCGACCAGCATGTTAGGGACAGGGAAATATTGAACGAAAAATTTTAACCTCACCGAATGTCAATAAAGAATACTTTATAAAGAACTGTTTTCGTAAGCTTTACTCTGTTTTAGATTTTGAAGCACAAATAAACAGTTACGATGTTTTTGAGTGACTATATTCGTCGGCTGAAAAATGTACAAGATAAATATGGAATGGGACGGTAAAATTCAAAGGTATTCAATCTAAAAGTGAATTTAAGCCGAAAATTTTGAAAATAAACTTAAGCCCATGCAAACTCTAGCTAAAAACACATTGTAAAATGTCTTCTTTGTGGAGCGGACTTTAGCTATATGGAGATATATTTAATTGCTGCACGAGCATAGCAGCGGTCAAGAACTTCGAAGCGATCTTGTTTTCCTGAAAAGATTAAAGCCTCACTCATGATTCAAAAGAATACCTTGATTCGGTACCGGAAACGGCTGGAAAAAATCTTCAAAGCGTTTAGTGACAGCAAGAACATATAAAAATGCGTATTTATTTGGTACGGAAAATATGGACTAGATTAGGTTTTAGAATGGCTTTTTGATGATAGTTTTGGTGCTACTGCGGTAGTCGAAAATCGTTTGTGTTGATGGAAAGAAAATACTGTATCGCGTTAATGAGCGTTGAATATATGATAAGTTGACAACAGTTATAATTCCACATCTTTGGAAAAACTGAATATTTAGTCCTTCATGCAAACAAACCTGGTAAAGGAAATACAGTAGAACATTTCCTCGAAGCAAAATGGATCGTTCCTTCGATATTCCGGAACATCAGTTGTCGAGTTAAACTCGCATTTGCATGACAGAAGATCAGAACTGCATGCTCTAGTTGTATGGAAGATCATTCAACGCGTTCATTGCGACTGGAACTAATCGCACTTTCCTCTTGGTTGGAATGGAATGGCACGGATAGTCGACTCAGCACCGCATTTCCGGCATTTAAGGTCGCGTGCGAGAATAGGCCGCAAAAATCTGCATAGATCCACACTCCCCGCTTGACAAAAATGATCGCAGACATTTTAAAATTAAAATAATGCGTCCTATGCAGTACAGATATTCACCTCATATAAATGCCCTTGCATACTATCCTTGAATGACAGCCAACATCATTGTGGTGCGTATAAGTCTCCATGAGTGTGGAAATTCTTGAGAAGAACAAAATTGGCCTTTTAACGAATGAAATAAGGAAATAATTTACTTTTAAAACTAATTAGCAGCAGGTGCGATCACTTTTGACGATTATATTGCGGCACAAGGAACTTTGTCATAAGGTCGAGAATTTTTCATATTTTAATTGAGCACTGCATTCTCAATAACACCAAGAAATGGTTTTCTGATTTTTAAAACATAAATTGGAAGCTTTTATAATTTGAATAAAGACCGCATTCTTTCAATCAATGCAGCACACATATTTTTGTATATCTTGAAAGTATGATGAAAAAAACATTGGGAAAAGAGGGTGACCTATAGTTGAGTAAACACGGTTAGAGGGATGAAGCGCTATTGATTACGATAGTCAATGCTTTGAGACCTCAAGCCAGGTTTATATCCAAGCTAATTCGATTGTGCTTTTATTGATCGTTGGTCCTCTAGGACACGGCCCGATCGAAGTGATTCTACCGCCGTCCGAGTGTTGGAATAACCCGGACGCTGACGCAAGCAACGTGCAATGGTCCGTGAACCACATGATGAACTTGGACCATACTTCCTTCCCTGGCCTGGACTTGCCCTCAACTACTTCCGGCCTCAGGCCGGAAACTGCCGTTCACTGCGGATCCGCACCGAATGAATCGCAGAGTAGTGGAAAATCTCAACGTAGGCCTGTGCTGATGGTCAAAGGGGCGATGCGAACGCCCAATCCGAGTGGAGACAGGCAAGAGTCCCCGCAAAAGCCAGTGAAGGATCATGGAAAACGTGCTCATAAAGCGCGTCAGAAAACCAAAAGCCAACAACAGGAAGAAGAGAGGGAAAGAATCAACCTTGAAGCACTCACGGAAGACATGTTGAGGGACTGGAAAGTTCAAGATTTGAACAGGCAGCTGAAAGGAATGCCGAAAGAGCTCCGCAACAAGTTCAAAAAAGACCGACGAACCCTGAAAAACCGCATTTACGCTCACAATTCCAGACACAAGAAGAATTCGGAACTCAAGGAATGTAAAGAAGAGCTCAACCGCATCAAAGCCTCGAATCATCAATTGCAATGCGAAAACGACTTCGTGGTGAATAAATCCAATCGGTATCAGGCTGCGATGCATAAAATTTTCGAGGCCTGGAGAAGCCTCCGGCAGGCTGTCAATAATCCCGATAGAAACCATACCGAGTTCGACAATGTCATTTCCGAAATTCAGGAGGAAATCCATAATTATTCCACTTTCGCTCGAGAGGCGATTTACCACCATTTGCCTCCAGATCACCCGAGTAACCAAGACGACGAGAGCACGTCGCAGTCCTCGCTGATGCCTGACGGGAATTTCGACGACGACGTCGAGGACCCAACGACGGCCTTGGCGCAGATTGTGACAGAAGCTTGCCGCGAGGCTAGTGTACGGAACGGACGGTTTCTGAAAAACTTTTGAATTATTTCGGGGCATTCACTCGTTTTATTTATGCTGGGCTCTTGATCGCGAGATTTATTTTGCTGGGAAAATGGCTGAATATACGCATATGCGAGTACTTCTGAGCCTTCCGCCCTGCTTGTTTCATTGGCCCCATCGTCACCGCAAAACCGTGACCGACCCTGAGGTTTAGTATCCTATAGTACCTGGCAGGAACCCGGAAGTGTGAATAATCGGTTAAAAAGAAGTTGAGAAATATACAGAGGCATCAATTAAGGAGTTGTACCGTCCACTGCACGTACACAAAATTTTGAGTCGGAAAAAATCTTATTTCTATGCGACAGAAGGAACGGATGAAGTTGAATTGGTTATCATGCATGATATTTAAAAGCTGGAAGCTCGTGTGACCTTGAAAAATATAACTTGATCCTGCTTTTTCCTCGCGTTCATTTGGCAAACGGAGAGGCCTGTCGATTGAGAAGATCAACCACATCGTTTGCAGATGTGGTTCTCAATTGGGATTTGAGAAAATTCCGCGATTAAAAATTCCCCCTTCTTAAACTTTCATTGAAAAGGACTTCACATTGTAAAATTTTTCCTCGAAGAAAGCACCTCATCTAGGATAATCATTGGTAATGGTTCTCGTGTTTTTACCCTAATTTTCTCATGAATACACAGAAAACATGCGTTATTTGAGAATGATTGGGGCAGACTATCGCCCGTTCTTTTCTATTCTTGAATAGGATGTCTAAGAAAATCCTATGATATGTTTGGATGGATGATCAAGTACGAGAAAACTTTTATAGCACGCTGGTCACGCATTTTGCAGCCGGTCGCGTTACAGGAAATATTTGTGTGCCTGGCTCGTACTAGCAGGACTGTACCAATTATTCTCGCTGCACCTTGCAGTCAGGAAACATATTTCAATTAAATACCCGGGTCGCAACAAAATCCCGGGCCAAGGAAAACTGTGTTTCCTCAAAATCTTGGCACGCATTCCTATGGACCAGTCAAGGATAGTACAGGACACTGCGCGTGAACCCGGTGGTGTCCTTCACCTGTTCGACCACGCCGCGCCAGCCAAAAACTCTTCCCGCCAGTCTCGTTTCTGCGAAACAGCATAACTTTATTCATTCCACATACTCAAATGAATTTGAGGAGCAGCAATCGTCGGCTCACACGTCCCCGAAAAAAGGGTGAAAGTATTCCTCGCAACTGCAGCCCCGGGAAGCACGTCTACAGCCTAAGAGGATCGTTCCACGCCCCTCGTAAAATAACTCGCGCTCCGCATCCATCGCCAGGAAAAAACGTGGTCGCTCAAGCCAGGTTAGTGCAGGTCATTCTCAGTATTAATCCCCGAGATGGAGATGAAAGAAAAGAATTGGGTAATCCGACGCGTCGGTTCGTTCAAACACAAAATGCGACCAATGGGAAACATTCCGTCAGCGACGACGGGTCAATCGCGAACACATTCTCACGGATCGCGAGGCAATCGTAAGCGCAATATAATTTGAAGAATGAAAATGCCGAGATAAAGTGGGCGTTGAGAGGCAGAAATTGATCCCGAGATCTCTACAACAGGGCTTTTCAACCTTTTCCATGGATTGCACAGTATTCAAGATATGTTCTTCACATGAGACCTCCGCTAAGTCTATTAAGGGAATAAAAAATAAGCAGAACACGAGGCTTTTTCTTATCATGTTCGAATGAAATTGATACTGTACAGTACTTCTGAATGTAAAACAAACGTTTAAACAGATGCAGTGTGCAGATGGTATGCGAGATTACCCCAGCACAAGTCCGAGACATTCCTGCGTACCATGAAATCTGTGGTATGCGTACCACTGGTTGAAAAGCCCTGTTCTACAAGCATCCGTATTCTCTCCTGTGAACAAAGCTTCGTCTTCTGAATATTCTCCGTGGTTCGGTCGTCTGGTGAATTGAGATGCGAGGAACGAGGACTTGCACGAACACGGCACCCGATCGATTTCGCGCTGACAGCCGCTTCCCCTAGCGGACGAATCCACAACCGGCTGCTGCAAAACCTGAAATGCAGGCTGTTATCGAGAGTGCATCTCGGCTGGGTCTTCGGAAGGACTCACTCGAAAATTTCATATTTCCTTCACTGCTCGAATCCCGGTCGATTTGATGACGCCGCTGGGGGGAGACTCTGGGAAGAGCCCGCATGCTATTCAAATCGGGGTCTCGGACTGGGTCTTCACTTCCTTCTGAGCGCGAAATCGATGCCGTGTTCGGTGCGAAGTTCGTTGTTCCTCTGCTGGTGGATGAAAATGTGCGAGAAGAAAAGCGGGGGTCTGTTTAGGGGAGGAGAGAAGCACAGCTGATGGCACTTTCGAAGCGGCTGGAAATTCATCAAACGCGTAACATACTTTCAAACTATTCATTCATTCACCTTCGCACAAAATCTCTGGCTACGAAAACGAAAATCGCTTGCTCTCGTCCCAATGAGGAATTCAAGTTATGCTCCGCGAACCAGTTCGTATCACTAATTTCCAGCAGATAGCTTTTCTCTTTTCAGTCTTCGCTGAAGATATTGATGTTTTATAGGGAGGATTCAATGCTATCTACGCTGCGGAAAGGTGAAAATAAATCATCTCAAGAGATAATTTTATTTGTGTCTTGTCCGCGTGTGTTAGACGGCATGATAGAAATTGAAGAGTGCGATAGAATGAGGAGATTGCTCGCATTTCTCGGTTTTTTTCTTTCTTCTTTTTTCATCGACACAAGTGAATTAATTGCGACTTTGTCCCGGCTCAAGCGAACTTACAACGATTTCGGGGGAGAATACGTTTAGCTGTTGGAGACAGTGGTCCTCTCCGTCGTGGCAGTGAGGTTGTAGCTGCGTTTCTTGATCCGCATGGACGACTCCATCGAGCTGGACATGTCCGCGGACGACATGAGACTGGCGTTGGCGCCACGCTGGAGCAAAGCGTGGTCGCGCCCTAGCAGGACGTCCGGCGTGGTGTTCCCGCGGATCCCGCGTTTGCTCAACGGGTTGTCCAGCCCCAAGTCCCTCATCATGCCGTCAATGTCGGGCGAGCGCAAGGAACCTCCGAAGCCATCGTCGGGCGTCCGTAAGCCGGCCCTCCGAGGGGGGAGCCCGAAATCATCGCTGCCCCAGTCGGGTTCCCCGAGCCCGTCCACACTAGGCATCTTCAGGCGGGGCCGCCCTCGGCGACCAGCACCGCCGAATGGGTCCGCGTCCAACCCGTCGTCGTAGTCGGCAGGCAGCGGCGACATTCTCGGCTTTCGTCGGAAGGAGATGGGTTCTTCTTCGGGCAGGGACAAGGCGTGGGATAGCGGAGGATGAGTGTGGTGGTGGTGATGATCCGGATGGTGACCCGGGCCGAATGATACCTTGCCTGGCTCGTGAGACGCCATGCATCCGGGGCAATGGCGAGCGACTCGCTCGGCGAACGTCTGTGCTCCAGGCGCCTCTTCGGTTATCCCGCGATCTTTCTTGTCTAGATGGTCCACCATTGGCTTATAATAACCTTGCTGGAAATTGTAGTTGTAGTCGTAAATCTTAGTGGGAGGCTTCTTCCAGTGGGAGCCAATCTTCACTTTCCCCGCTCGCGACATGATGGATCGAAAACTTCCCGCGGACAACTAGCACCCTGGAATTCAGCGACCTGGCCGAGTAAAAATGTAACCCTTGTCAATCTTTTTTTCATTTTTTAGAACCCTTGATTTCAATTCGCCGCACACGGCTGAATAATTATGCTCTGTTCCGCACAAACGTCTGGGGTTTTAGTTTTTCCTCTGATTTCGGGACAATTAATTCATATCTGCGACTTCTTCGTTACACAGTGCCCGCTATAAGAGATATTGGCAGATCCCTACTTTCAAATGATACAAATGTATGCATTAAAAAAAATTCAGTCAATACAGCAACAAGTGTTCTTCGGAGACGAAGTTCTCTCTTGTAGCAATACTATTGATCTCTGCAGCTGCTCGAGGAAACATCTGGAGGAAAATGAAATGCGTGATATAAGCTTTACTGTACATTCATGAGCATATAACAAGATTTAGAAAAAGGGAAAGTGCTGGTCTGCGAATTATAGACGAACGCCAGCTTAGGTTAGCTCAAGCCAAAGGAATTTCATTTAAAAAATGGCTCAAACCAGGAAATTTATTTGTAATGAGAAATTTGAGCACAAACGGATGAGAAACTCCGGTCTGCAGCTTCGATGATGAATCAAGTATTCGTTGGAAATTTCAGAAGAAAACTGCCCTTTCGCTTGTTCTAGTAATGAACAAGTTTTAGCAATGATTGAATATCTGAAGGGTTGCAATTCAGCAGGTCAAGTTATTTCGCGGCGCACACGTGCATGTATCCGTATTCAGACTGATGCTATGGAATGATTCTTAGTGTAAACAGAAGACTTCGGTCTGGACTCGAATTCCGGAGGCGAATCACTTGTTAAAAAATGTATGACACATGTCTTTCGCTGGAGATGGACAAACCGAACTGCGGAAACTAGGGCTAGAATCAGGCCTGTCACAGATTCTACTTCACGACGGTGTCACGGTGGCGACTCAGCCCGAATTTTGTTGGGCGTCGGAGGAGGGCTTCGTTCCGAGCTCCCCCATTTGCGACGTGACCTCGACGAACTGATTATCTGGTTCGAGCTGGGCTCAAGCTGGCACCTGTCCTGACTGCCTCTATTTCCTTCTCCTCTCTTCCCGATCTTCGCTTGGTGAACGGTGAGGGTTTTGGTTGCACATTTTTGAATTCGATGAATTGAAAACAGGAAGATTCTATCGGGAACCTAAGAACAATCCTTTTCGGCTTTTAAGAATTTGCAAGTCAAGCGCTCTTATATGGTCATGGTGATACCGAGCGTTCGCTAGGATCTCTGAAAATTATTTCTCAAAAGACACGTGGTTTTTCGAAGGTTTTTCAATTTCATTTCCGGAGAATGGAGCTTTTTTGTTCTATCGTTCAGTTAGCATGAACTATAAAGTAATTAACTTTACTTTGTTTCACGCTCATATTCGAATCGTACAGAATTGTATGATTTATGAATGCCCTAGCTCGATCAGATCAATCTAGTGTTGAGTGGCAGGGTAGCAATTTGGAAGTGCCCCAGAACTATTTGAATCAATTATTTCAATATGCAGTATCATAATTTGGAAGTGAATCTTCATGTCCGTTTTACTTTCTTCAGTTGACTGCTCCTGTTCAATTAATACATCATTTACTATATTTCTAATTATTCAATTCGTACTTATCTTTCTATTTCCGAGGACATGTTCTCCTGCTCATCAGTTGCTGGGGTATTATCTATACGTGTAATTAACCGAAGCGCCATTTTTATTTGACTGGTATGATCCAAAAAAAAATTTCTTTGCTTTATATACAATTCATGCTCTGGTAATAAAATCTTTGCGTCATCTGCCAAGGTGCCTTGCACACGACATCTGATTGAGAAGTCCTGCTACAGTAAATAAATTTTTTCTGAATCGATGAGGTACTTGCATCGGTTAAATGTTCGGAATTCCCGTTAAACCTGAGATTCTTTTTGTTTGCATTGCAGTGGGAAGCCTTTCGTGATTTCAGTTGCGATTCGTGCGATTTTTCTGAGAACCCATGGCGTGCCTTCCAAGTGATTTGAACGTGACCCTCCCTCCATTCTCCTTCGTGTGCCCTGCGTTCAAGGGTGCCCGGCAAAGGTTTTCACCCACTCATGCCAAGGCTGTTAAGATGGGTGTTTTCATTTTTTTCTCCTATGAAAACTTTGTGTTTCGTTCGCCTGTCTCACGGTCTCAGTCCCTGGGTTTACCCAGGTGCTGCTGCTTTTGCCAGAGCCGATGGAATCCCGAAGTGCCCGCCCGCGAATAGTTGGCAGAAGCGAGCACCTCGCGGTGTGAGCAAACCTATCCTTCATTTCTAGGAGACTATGCTCATCGGCTGCAAACGATCCCCTCTTCCGTGAGGTACCGTTTTCGATTTGTCGAAGCCCCCACGCGAAATATTCCGCACGGATCCTAATTATACGAATCATTAGAAAATAATAATTCTTCAAGGTTCAAGATTCATCGCAGAGTAGCGGCAAAAATTGAAGTTCTGGCGCATCTTCCCGAACAACTGGTTCTGCATTCCAATCTCGAGATGAAAAAAAAGCATCGCAATCAAACATAATTTTGTGGACTAAACGTGCACAGTTATATCCGCTCAAAATAATAAAAAAAAAATTAAGAAATTCGGAATAAACTAAGCCACGAGAAACTATAAGCCCTTCGTGAAGTTGACACCTGCTGGTTGGTTTCGCACGCTCTGAATCATCCTCGATGACGGAAAGTGTCAAGTTTTCTGCGGATGAAAGTTGTAGGCCGTGTTCTCGAAAGTCTTTTTGCATTGCGCGCATTTCGCAGATCGAGTACTCCGAGGTGATTCACCACTGAAGCTTGAAAAGCTTATCGACTAATTTAGAATACGACGGCAAGCATCTGGATAAATGCCAGACCAGCTTGAAAGTCCTGGCATAGATCCCATGGTTAACTGGTTAGCGAAGGCGAGTTAATGCGCGATTAAAAGCCGCCTGCTGGCTGCACAAGACTTGTGAATATGTCTTCGATATTCGAATATCGCGAGTATCGCTCAATGAAACACAGCTTGACGTGTGTGGCACCTGGAGAGTAGTAAAATTTCCAAATTTATCATGAGTTGCCTAATTTTTATCGACTGACATCCTAAATGATCTTCAGAGCAACGATGTAGTGTAGTTTTGGTCTTTTATGCAGGGTCGAAAGTTTCGGCGTTCGTTCGGATTTTGGAACTTTAAAAGTTCATACGAACATATACAAGTACAAAAAGGTTCTAGTGGTATCATGAACACCTTGCATAATGAACTTACTACGTAATGGACTCGAATTGCCTCGATTTATTCTTCGGATATTATATCCCACACTGGAAGGTAGACTGACGTCAATGTGCCCGCCCGCTGATGCTCAACAAAAGCTGTTGGTGGAAATTTGATGTGCAGCAAGACCTTTCATGTACTGTAGATGAATGCTTTTTGATATTCTTGATCGTGTTCTGTTTTTACTTTTTTTATATCTTTAAACGAATATATAGAGTATTGCAGAACTTATTTTATCTAAAAACTATTCGGAAGAGGTTACTGATAAGGATTTGGAGTGGAAAATATTCCACATATATGCTTCACATTACTCGTTTAATTCCATTTTCTCGTAATTTATGACGTTCCACTTGAACTGATCGTTTACAATGAGACCCTGATATGCGGACACCCCGACATATGGACAATTCAACATCGGGACACATTAAAACCAAAAAGATCAGGCCCAACATTCAAACATTGGCTCAAGTTAGGGGCACTTTCTGAAATTTTCCCAAAAATTGAAACAATTATTTTTTTAAATTTTAATGTCCTTCGAACAAATCAAGCTATTTATATTCACAAAAAATTATAAAATATTTCATGATGAATTCACTCTAATTCATAATCAAAAACAAGCTGATTTTGTTCTTATTTTTTCAGAGTTTTTTTTCATCATCTGTGCATATTCTAGCAAGACTTATTCTTTAACTTTGCTTTTTGATCCCCTTTTGATACCAAAAGATCAGATTCTATGAGATTTTTTCTGAACTGTTGTTTTCTATAACTTGAAGTTGAGAGAAAACATTTTATTAAATTTTCTAAGGACTTATTTCTAATTTTTGACGAAAAGGATAACCAATTAAATTCATCAGAATCAAAGTCTATAAGGGAAAATGATACTCAACTTAGAGACATTCCGACATCAAGACACTCTTGATACACCAATTACGTCCGTATCTTGGGGTCTCACTGTATATTACATACAATGCGGACGAGATGTGTGTACATACATAATCGAGGACATAAAAGGACATAAATAATTGTTGTAAGGTAATTTGGCCTAAATCTGGGATTCGGGTTCTAGATCATACTGGTTTCACTCGACATAACAGTAATAAAGTTGTTCAGGCTACCAATTTAGACGTCCAAAACCCAAAAGTATATTTTACTGCGAGAACGTTGCCTTGTAATATTTTCAGCTTCTTTCGATTGCCCGGAAAATCTAGTCGAGAAAGTGAAGGATGCCATGTGATGAACGACATTCTGAATCCCTGCAGCATTTCGCTGCGCCTTTTTATGACGCAACACACCTCTCAGTGTCTACAACTACTATTGTGCTCTGTAGTTGTCGTAAGATCCAGTAGCATAAGGACGCACGGAGTGGCTGTAAGGCTGTGTAGCCTCTGCCTTTCGCGTGGGTTATTTTTGGTCGAGTGCGTATGGCTCCTAGCCGCAGTCGCCAGGTGAAATCGAGCCAACAGTTCGATGTGTTGGTAAATCTTCGTTTAGTTTTTACCGGATCAGTCTGAATCGGTGGCCTACTTCATATTCAGTTCGAACAAGTCTTCTGGCTGCGAGGCCATAAATCACGACCAATTAAGAGATGTGCTTGTCATGAAAAAAGGAACAACATTCGACTACGTGTTGCTCAATTATATGATGCTTTCGTCAGTGACAAGAATAAAGTAATTTGGCCTAAATCTGGGCTTCGGGTTCTAGATCATATCAGTTTCA